GGGCCCTCGCCTGACTGGTGAAAAGACACAAGATGATCAAATGCAGAATTTGGTTCTGGAGGAGGTTCTAACACCTCTCCTGCTTGTTGGGTATTTACAACATGTTCAAAATCATTATTTGGGTCAGGATCCTCATCGGATATTGATCTCACGATGTTTAATAATTCTACCAACGTATCAGTTGAAGACTCAGACCTATTCATATCCTCCACAGTCTGTATTAAATAGAGCAATGTTTCTGTGTTACTGCACTGTTCGAGGGGCACCACGCTACCATCGTTTCGTCTAAACCTAGCTACCGGACCCTGATCAAAACCATCTGGCTCCCGACAACGTTTAGGCATTTTTAAATCAGATCTTTTTTATTTTATTTATTTAAATCACATGTAGCAACACCTTAAAAACTATGGATAATAAACCCTGTGTCCATACAGTAAAAAAAAGATAGAATGAAAAACTGACAAATGTTGAAGAAAAAAAACAAAACAAAAAAAAACATAGTATGCAAAATATGTATATATATATAAAATGTTGTCAACTCACCCAAGTTTCTTTTTAAGCATGAGAACCAGTTGCTTTAACAATTCTGTAGTCAGGCATTGTTCTCTGGCTACTTTTTGAACAGTACCACTATGCAACCGTTGCGCTGCTATGCATTGTTTAAGCCAAATTCCCTGTTGTTGTTGTGTTGACTCATAAGCATCTAAACGTCTCTCAATGGCATTAAGGCGTTTGTCAAAACGTACCTCGAAGGCATTCAATGCGGTCTTGACAGAGTCCTGTATCAGTCCGGCTATGTGCTGATTGTCTATAAAGGGTTGTGATTCCTGTTTGTAAGCCTCCTGATTTGAAGGCAGCTGTTCAGGGTCGGATTCCTCCACGACCACGACCCGTTCGCTGGTTGGAACAGACTGCGGTGTTTCTTTAGGGTCGTTTGTAAAAACACAGCCGTCCCACGATTGTATCAGACCCTCACTCCAGCTCTGAACATCATTTATATCGGGAACTACGACCACCTCTGTTAAGAAGTAGAAAAGGGTGCAAACAAACAAAAAAAGTTAGTACAAATGTGTTAATATTATAATGATAACAGTAATATTAATATTAACTATATTTTCTAAGACTAAAAATAAAATAAAAATCAGTCTGGTACTAATGTAACATTAAAAAACAATACGTATTGTCAAATTCTCTCTCTCTCTCTCTCTCTCTCTCTCTCTCTCTCTCTCTCTTTATATATATATATATATATATATATATATATATATAAACAAACAATCAAACAAGACCATGCTAATATGGAATGGCACAGCAGCCTAAAATCATCATGTCTACACTTTTTTTACACACAGTTCTCCAATGGTGTAATGTATGATAACAACAGTTCTAAACTAGCGTATTGGCACATTATACATCCACAAACACATTCGACCTCTCACTATCACATTCAAATAAACAATATTTATCTTTCTGATTTAGTGTGAACAGAAAACAATCCATCAGCTTTTGTTCATTACTTACTTTTATCAGCTGATCGTCTTGGCTTTTTTGGGGCAGATGTCTGTGGTACGTCTCTCGATGACCCATCAGCAGAAGCTTTTGCGTCCGCATGGGACACCACAGCAGCTTTACGTTTCAACTTATTTTTCGGTTTCGCCACTATGCCCTTCAAACTAGGCTTATCTGGATCATTCACACGTTCAGACACACCGACATTGCTCACAACGTTTGATAAACCATCTGTAAATACATGTGTTAAAGTTTTAAAACAAAATCAACAAACCATAGCAGCATAACATTGTTTGATAAAGCCGAATCACAATGCACATACCCAGGGGAATAACTTCAACGTTAGCAGACTCGCAGCTTCGCGGTGGTGCATGTACTAAGGCCTTGATAGTCACGCGTTTCGGCCCTGGTAAAAACAAAAAACCCAGAGAAGATAAGATATTTTTCACACAGTCACAACACTGTTTAAACACGGGTGTAACAACATTTAACAATACCTGCCACAAGTGCTTCCGTGATCGCTCGTGAAGAGGCAACAGCTTTGTGCGTAGCAGCAGCTGTGCTAGGTCTAGCCACGCCTCCTGACGAAAACAAAACAAAACATCATCCGTCACACACACGCACACAAACACACACACACACACAACGTATGCAACATTTAAACATAATTATACGTACCGCCGGCTTGATTTAGGAAATTAATCTCCTCAACAAGATCGAAGAGACTCAAACTTTCACCATCTGAAGCGGGCAGATAAAACCTTAAGTAAGCAATAGAACAGCGACGCTCGTAAACAAAAATAATGTTTCTTAACAATGTTACTAAATAATAAAAAACACTCACTGTTAGAACAGGATTCCATCTTCTTGCACTCACGATTCCAACAACACAATATGGCTTGGAAAATAGTTTGAGAACGAGAATAAACAGCGGTGATGCTTGACACGAGACACACACACTAGTACGCTTCAGTGACTGTGCTCGCGTTCAACACACATTTATACACGCAGGTTTTGGCGAAGTGTGAAAAGGGGCCTCCCCAGCAGACAGAATACACAACGACATAACATCTCGCGCAGGTAGAGGGCCAATAAACCCGGAAGGCCAAGGGCCAGACACCTTTCTTTTACACCTCTGACCCAGGATGTCAACGCAGGAGGATGTCACATGGCGTCGCGCAGCCTAGACATACCGGAGCCTGTCAGTGACCCATCATAAATCAGAGACAGGGGAACCTCAAAACCATAAATCAAAGTCATAAAACACCTTTTTTGACACATGGTTTATGTTAATACTACTGTCCAGGAATTTGTTTATTTCATCTAGAGAATAAACCTGCTCACAGCTTACTTGCGAAACATCTGACATGTCTGAGAAATCAGACAACCCACCACCATCATCATCATCATCATCATCATCACCACCACCACCATTGCCATCATCATCCATTCCCTCATCAACCATTTCTGATTGCACCTTCTTAATCAAAGATACTATCTTTCCTCTTTCCAAAACATCACCTTTCAAACCGCTTACGTCATCATTCGTCTGGCTTGTATTCTCTGAACTCTCCACAGTATCACCCTGCTCAGGCCCCTTTACCACAGTATCACTCTGTCCAGACCCTTGTACCACAGTGCTTCTCTCAACAGCCACATCAGTTACAACATTAACTCTCTTCATTTTTCCCTGTTTTGTCTTACTACCAGAAGCTTCCTCTGTATCTTTTTCATTATTAGTGGATGGATCTTCTACTATCATTCCTTCCTTCAAATTTGAATCCACATTCTGAACCTCATTATTCACCACTGCTGCTTCATTTGGTACACTACTCTTTTGTACTTCATTTTCATTCCTCTTATCTGAAGTATTGCTAGGGCCTGCTTCATTCTCTAGTTCAACTCGATGAGGACAAGACAGCCTGACATGTCCAATACTCCCGCAATCAAAACACCGCATTTCTCCCGTGCTCGCGTACATCATGTACGACTTGCCCTCAAAAACACATCGAAAAGAGATATTCAGCGTCGGTTCTTTTAGAAACATATACACCTGTCGCCTAAATGACAACACATGCTTTAAAGCGGCATTCTTACAACCAAGTGAAACCGTTCTAATTCCACTGGCAAGTTTCCCAAATCGAGAAAGCTCTCGCTCAATGTCGGCATCGGGAATAAAAGTCGGAACGTTGGAAACCGTCACCTTCGTCGTGATTGAAACTAAGGGTTGAACAGAAACAAATGTGCCACTTACCGATATCCCGCTCTCGATCAAACCATGAACCAGATTTTCTTCCTTCAAAAATACCACTACGGCCTTGTTCATCCGAGACGCCGAAATGATATTCTCATGGCCCACGCGCTCTGCCACGTCCAGTAACACATCCTCTACAGGCACACCTGAATGGGTCACACACCTAATCCCATGCCGGAGCGACAGGCCTGACGCCTACCTCCGACACGAGACAACTCTCGCGGAAAACAAACTCAGTTTTTTTTTTTTTTTTTTTTTTTTTTTTTTTATTAAAACTTTTTTTCCTTTTTCAATTAAAATAATCGAATACAAGAAAAAAGCAAGAAATAGTGAAAAATTTGAAAAGTTCCTCTCACCTAGATCACCCTCCCATGCATTCCCTTCCCAATTCCCAGCATGCACCAGAGAGAGAGAGAGAGAGAGAGAGAGAGAGAGAGAGAGAGAGAGAGAGAGAGAGAGAGAGAGAGAGAGAGATAGGTAGGTTCATTAGTACATACAGAATGGCAGTTTGGCAGTTTGATTGAGTCTAGGGCTTCAAGGTGTTTAGATTTGAATTTTTGAATTTTTGGCAGTTGGTCAGTTTGAAAATCTCAACATTCCGCAATGTTAAGTCAATGGGATTTTCAAATGTTTTTTTCCGAGTTTTGATCGTCATTTTTAGGAAAACCGTAAGTCCGATCAGTTAGAAAAGATATAGCACACTAAGTCAGAACAGTTTGAGTGTCTGAGCCGAGTTTGGAGTATGTGGAGTTAAAGCTCTAGGAGGAGTTAGAGTCTGAAATTTTAGTGCTCATAAAAAGAATAATAACTAAAAAAAATTTGATGAGACAAACTTTAAGTTGGCTTGAGAAAGCCGGACCAGAGAGTTTGAAGAAGTTTAAAGTAGTTTGAAGTCGGATAGATGGATTAGTTAGAAAAGAAAAGAAAGATTAGTTAGATAGACAGAAAGACTGGTTTCACTGAAAGAAAGATTAGTTAGAAAGAAAGAAAGATTAGTTTAAAAAGAGATAAAGAAAGAAAGTTTAGTTAGAAAGAAAGAAAGAAAGATAGATTAGTTAGAAAGAAAGATAGATTAGTAAGAAAGAAAGAGATTAGTTAGAAAGAAAAAAGAAAGACAGATTAGTTAGAAAGAAAGAAAGACAGATTAGTTAGAAAGAAAGAAAGATAGATTAGTTAGAAAGAAAGAAAGAAAGAAAGAAAGATCAGTTGGAAAGAAAGAAAGAAAAAAGAAAGAAAGATTAGGTAGAAAGAAAGATAAGTAAGACAGATAGAAATATGGATTAGTTAGAAAGAAAGAAAGAAAGAAAGAAAGAAAGAAAGAAAGAAGAAAGATTAGTAAGAAAGAAAGAAGAAAGATTAGTTAGAAAGAAAAAAAGAAAGAAAGAAAGAAAGAAAGAAAGAAAGAAAGAAAGAAAGAAAGAAAGAAAGAAAGAAGAAAGATTAGTTAGAAAGAAAAAAAGAAAAAATTAGTTAGAAAGAGAGAAAGAAAAAAGAAGAAAGATTAGTTAGAAAGAAAGAAAGAAAGAAAGAAAGAAAGAAAGAAAGAAAGAAAGAAAGAAGAAAGATTAGTTAGAAAGAAAGAAAGAAAGAAAGAAAGAAAGAAAGCAAGAAAGAAGAAAGATTAGTTAGAAAGAAAGAAAGAAAGAAGAAAGATTAGTTAGAAAGAAAGAAAGAAAGAAAGAAAGAAAGAAAGAAAGAAAGAAAGAAAGAAAGAAAGAAAGAAAGAAAGAAAGAAGAAAGATTAGTTAGAAAGAAAGAAAGAAAGAAAGAAAGAAAGAAAGAAAGAAAGAAAGATTAGTTAGAAAGAAAAAAGAAGAAAGATTAGTTAGAAAGAAAGAAGAAAGATTAGTTAGAAAGAAAGAAAGAAAGAAAGAAGAAAGATTAGTTAGAAAGAAAGAAAGAAAGATTAGTTAGAAAGAAGAAAGATTAGTTAGAAAGAAAGAAAGAAAGAAAGAAAGAAAGAAAGAAAGAAAGAAAGAAAGAAAGAAAGAAAGAAAGAAAGAAGAAAGATTAGTTAGAAAGAAATAAAGAAGAAAGATTAGTTAGAAAGAAAGAAAGAAAGAAAGAAAGAAAGAAAGAAAGAAAGAAGAAAGATTAGTTAGAAAGAAAGAAAGAAAGAAAGAAAGAAAGAAAGAAGAAAGATTAGTTAGAAAGAAAGAAAGAAAAGTTAGAAAGAAAGAAAGAAAGAAAGAAAGAAAGAGAGAAAGAAAGAAGAAATATTAGTTAGAAAGAAAGAAAGAAAGAAAGAAAGAAGAAAGATTAGTTAGAAAGAAAGAAAGAAATATTAGTTAGAAAGAAAGAAAGAAGAAAGATTAGTTAGAAAGAAAGAAGAAAGATTAGTTAGAAAGAAAGAAAGAAAGAAAGAAAGAAAGAAAGAAAGAAAGAAAGAAGAAAGATTAGTTAGAAAGAAAGAAAGAAAGAAAGAAAGAAAGAAAGAAAGATTAGTTAGAAAGAAAGAAAGAAAGAAAGAAGAAAGATTAGTTAGAAAGAAAGAAAGAAAGAAAGAAAGAAAGAAAGAAAGAAAGAAAGAAAGAAAGAAAGAAAGAAAGAAGAAAGATTAGTTAGAAAGAAAAAAGAAAGATTAGTTAGAAAGAGAGAAAGAAAAAAGAAGAAAGATTAGTTAGAAAGAAAGAAGAAAGATTAGTTAGAAAGAAAGAAAGAAAGAAGAAAGATTAGTTAGAAAGAAAGAAAGAAAGAAAGAAAGAAAGAAAGAAAGAAAGAAAGAAAGAAAGAAAGAAAGAAAGAAGAAAGATTAGTTAGAAAGAGAGAAAGAAAAAAGAAGAAAGATTAGTTAGAAAGAAAGAAGAAAGATTAGTTAGAAAGAAAGAAAGAAAGAAGAAAGATTAGTTAGAAAGAAAGAAAGAAAGAAAGAAAGAAAGAAGAAAGATTAGTTAGAAAGAAAGAAAGAAAGAAAGAAAGAAAGATTAGTTAGAAAGAAAGAAAGAAAGATTAGTTAGAAAGAAAGAAAGAAAGAAAGAAAGAAAGAAAGAAAGAAAGATTAGTTAGAAAGAAAGAAAGAAAGAAAGAAGAAAGATTAGTTAGAAAGAAAGAAAGAAAGAAAGAAAGAAAGAAAGAAAGAAAGAAAGAAAGAAAGAAAGAAAGAAAGAAAGAAGAAAGATTAGTTAGAAAGAAAGAAAGAAGAAAGATTAGAAAGAAAGAAAGAAAGAAGAAAGATTAGTTAGAAAGAAAGAAAGAAAGAAAGAAAGAAAGAAAGAAAGAAAGAAAGAAAGAAAGAAAGAAAGAAAGAAAGAAGAAAGAAAGACTAGTTAGAAAGAAAGAAAGAAAGAAAGAAGAAAGATTAGTTAGAAAGAAAGAAAGAAAGAAAGAAAGAAAGAAAGAAAGAAAGAAGAAAGATTAGTTAAAAAGAAAGAAAGAAAGAAAGAAAGAAAGAAAGAAAGAAAGAAAGAAAGAAGAAAGATTAGTTAAAAAGAAAGAAAGAAAGAAAGAAAGAAAGAAAGAAAGAAAGAAAGAAAGAAAGAAAGAAGAAAGATTAGTTAGAAAGAAAGAAAGATTAGTTAGAAAGAAAGAAAGAAAGAAGAAAGATTAGTTAGAAAGAAAGAAATAAAGAAGAAAGATTAGTTAGAAAGAAAGAAAGAAAGAAGAAAGAAAGATTAGTTAGAAAGAAAGAAAGAAAGATAGAAAGAAAGAAAGAAAGAAGAAAGATTAGTTAGAAAGAAAGAAAGAAAGAAAGAAAGAAAGAAAGAAAGAAAGAAAGATTAGTTAGAAAGAAAGAAAGAAAGAAGAAAGAAAGATTAGTTAGAAAGAAAGAAAGAAAGAAAGAAAGAAAGAAAGAAAGAAAGAAAGATTAGTTAGAAAGAAAGAAAGAAAGAAAGAAAGAAAGAAAGAAAGAAAGAAAGAAGAAAGAAAGACTAGTTAGAAAGAAAGAAAGAAAGAAAGAAAGAAAGAAAGAAAGAAAGAAAGAAAGAAAGAAAGAAAGAAAGAAGAAATAATAGTTAGAAAGAAAGAAAGAAAGAAAGAAAGAAGAAAGATTAGTTAGAAAGAAAGAAAGAAAGAAAGAAAGATTAGTTAGAAAGAAAGATAGATAGATTAGTTAGAAAGAAAGATAGTTAGATTAGTTAGAATGAAAGAAAGTGTTTAGTTAGAAAGAAAGAAAGAAAGAAAGGAGGATAGATTTGTTAGTTAGAAAGAAAGATAGATTAGTCAGAAAGAAAGATAGATTAGTTAGAAAGAAAGAAAGAAATATAGATTAGTTAGAAAGAAAGAAAGAAAGATTAGTCAGAAAAAGAAAGATAGATTCGTTAGAAAGAAAAAAGATAGATTAGTCAGAAAGAAAAAAGATAGATAGATTAGTTAGAAAGAAAGATAGTTAGATTAGTTAGAAAGAAAGAAAGATAGATTAGTTAGAATGAAAGAAATAGTTTAGTTAGAAAGAAAGAAAGATAGATTAGTCAGAAAGAAAGAAATATGGATAGATTAGTCAGAAAGAAAAAAGATTGATTAGTTAGAAAGGAAGATAGATAAGTTAGAAAGAAAGATAGTTAGATTAGTTAGAAAGAAAGATAGTTAGATTAGTTAGAAAGAAAGAAAGATAGATTAGTTAGAATGAAAGAGAAAGAAAGAAAAAAAAGAAAGAAAGAAAGAAAGAAAGAAAGAAAGAAAGAAAGAAAGAAAGAAAGAAAGAAAGAAAGAAAGAAAGAAAGAAAGGAGGATAGATTTGTTAGTTAGAAAGAAAGATAGATTAGTCAGAAAGAAAGATAGATTAGTTAGAAAGAAAGAAAGAAAGATTAGTCAGAAAAAGAAAGATAGATTAGTTAGAAAGAAAAAAGATAGATTGTTAGAAAGAAAAAAGATAGATAGATTAGTTAGAAAGAAAGATAGATAGATTGATTAGTTAGAAAGAAAGAAAGATAGATTAGTTAGAAAGAAAGATAGATTAGTTAGAAAGAAAAAAGATAAGTTAGTAAGAAAGAAAAAAAGATAGATTAGTTAGAAAGAAAGAAAGGGATTAGTTAGAAAGAAAGAAAGAAGGATAGATTAGTTAGTTAGAAAGAAAGATAGATTAGTCAGAAAGAAAGATAGATAGATTAGTTAGAAAGAAAGAAAGAAAGAAAGAAAGAAAGAAAGATTAGTTAGAAAGAAAGAAAGAAAGAAAGAAAGAATGAAGATTAGAAAGAAAGAAAGAAAGAAAGAAAGAAAGAAAGAAAGAAAGAAAGAAAGAAAGAAAGAAAGAAAGAAAGAAAGAAAGAAAGAAGAAAGATTAGTTAAAAAGAAAGAAAGAAAGAAAGAAGAAAGATTAGTTAGAAAGAAAGAAAGAAAGAAAGAAGAAAGATTAGTTAGAAAGAAATAAGGAAAGAAAGAAAGAAAGAAAGAAGAAAGATTAGTTAGAAAGAAAGAAAGAAGAAAGATTAGTTAAAAAGAAAGAAAGAAGAAAGATTGGTTAGAAAGAAAGAAAGAAAGAAAGAAAGAAAGAAAGAAAGAAAGAAAGAAAGAAAGAAAGAAAGAAAGAAAGAAGAAAGATTAGTTAGAAAGAAAGAAAGAAAGAAAGAAAGAAAGAAAGAAAGAAGAAAGATTAGTTAGAAAGAAAGAAAGAAAGAAAGAAAGAAAGAAAGAAAGAATAAAGATTAGAAAGAAAGAAAGAAAGAATAAAGATTAGTTAGAAAGAAAGAAAGGAAGAAGAAAGATTAGTTAGAAAGAAAGAAAGGAAGAAGAAAGATTAGTTAGAAAGAAAGAAAGAAAGAAAGAAAGAAAGAAAGAAAGAAAGAAAGAAAGAAAGAAAGAAGATTAGTTAGAAAGAAAGAAAGAAAGAAAGAAAGAAAGAAAGAAAGAAGAAAGATTAGTTAGAAAGAAAGAAAGAAAGAAAGAAGAAAGATTAGCTAGAAAGAAAGAAAGACAGAAAGAAAGAAAGAAGAAAGATTAGCTAGAAAGAAAGAAAGAAAGAAAGAAAGACAGACAGAAAGAAAGAAAGAAAGAAGAAAGATTAGTTAGAAAGGAAGAAAGATTAGTTAGAAAGAAAGAAAGAAGAAAGATTAGTTAGAAAGAAAGAAAGAAAGAAAGAAAGAAAGAAAGAAAGAAAGAAAGAAAGAAAGAAAGAAAGAAAGAAAGAATAGTTAGACAGAAAGAAAGAAAGAAAGAAAGAAAGAAAGAAAGAAAGATTAGTTAGAAAGAAAGAAAGAAAGAAAGAAGAAAGATTAGTTAGAAAGAAAGAAAGATTTGTTAGAAAGAAAGAAAGAAAGAAGAAAGATTAGTTAGAAGGAAAGAAAGAAAGAAGAAAGATTAGTTAGAAAGAAAGAAAGATTAGTTAGAAAGTAAGATAGATAGATTAGTTAGAAAGAAAGATAGTTAGATTAGTTAGAATGAAAGAAAGAGTTTAGTTAGAAAGAAAGAAAGAAAGAAAGAAAGAAAGAAAGAAAGAAAGAAAGAAAGAAAGAGAAAGAAAGAAAGAAAGGAGGATAGATTTGTTAGTTAGAAAGAAAGATAGATTAGTCAGAAAGAAAGATAGATTAGTTAGAAAGAAAAAAGATAGTTTAGTTAGAAAGAAAGAAAGAAAGAAAGAAAGATAAGTTAGTAAGAAAGAAAAAAAGATAGATTAGTTAGAAAGAAAGAAAGGGATTAGTTAGAAAGAAAGAAAGAAGGATAGATTAGTTAGTTAGAAAGAAAGATAAATTAGTCAGAAAGAAAGATAGATAGATTAGTTAGAAAGAAAGAAAGAAAGAAAGAAAGAAAGAAAGAAAGAAAGAAAGAAAGAAAGATTAGTTAGAAAGAAAGAAAGAAAGAAAGAAAGAAAGAAAGAAAGAAAGAAAGAAAGAAAGAAAGAAAGAAAGAATGAAGATTAGAAAGAAAGAAAGAAAGAAAGAAAGAAAGAAAGAAAGAAAGAAGAAAGATTAGTTAAAAAGAAAGAAAGAAAGAAAGAAGAAAGATTAGTTAGAAAGAAAGAAAGAAAGAAAGAAAGAAAGAAAGAAAGAAAGAAAGAAAGAAAGAAAGAAAGAAAGAAAGAAAGAAAGAAGAAAGATTAGTTAGAAAGAAATAAGGAAAGAAAGAAAGAAAGAAAGAAGAAAGATTAGTTAGAAAGAAAGAAAGAAGAAAGATTAGTTAGAAAGAAAGAAAGAAGAAAGATTAGTTAGAAAGAAAGAAAGAAAGAAAGAAAGAAAGAAAGAAAGAAAGAAAGATTAGTTAGAAAGAAAGAAAGAAAGAAAGAAAGAAAGAAAGAAAGAAAGAAAGAAAGAAAGAAAGAAGAAAGATTAGTTAGAAAGAAAGAAAGAAAGAAAGAAAGAAAGAAAGAAAGAAAGAAAGAAAGAAAGAAAGAAAGAAAGAAAGAAGATTAGTTAGAAAGAAAGAAAGAAAGAATAAAGATTAGAAAGAAAGAAAGAAAGAAAGAATAAAGATTAGTTAGAAAGAAAGAAAGGAAGAAGAAAGATTAGTTAGAAAGAAAGAAAGGAAGAAGAAAGATTAGTTAGAATGAAAGAAAGAAAGAAAGAAAGAAAGAAAGAAAGAAAGAAAGAAAGAAAGAAAGAAAGAAAGAAGAAAGATTAGTTAGAAAGAAAGAAAGAAAGAAAGAAAGAAAGAAAGAAAGAAAGAAAGAAAGAAAGAAAGAAAGAAGAAAGATTAGCTAGAAAGAAAGAAAGACAGAAAGAAAGAAAGAAGAAAGATTAGCTAGAAAGAAAGAAAGAAAGAAAGAAAGAAAGAAAGAAAGACAGACAGAAAGAAAGAAAGAAGAAAGATTAGTTAGAAAGGAAGAAAGATTAGTTAGAAAGAAAGAAAGAAGAAAGATTAGTTAGAAAGAAAGAAAGAAAGAAAGAAAGAAAGAAAGAAAGAAAGAAAGAAAGAAAGAAAGAAAGAAGAAAGAATAGTTAGACAGAAAGAAAGAAAGAAAGAAAGAAAGAAAGAAAGAAAGAAAGAAAGAAAGAAAGAAAGAAAGAAAGAAAGAAAGAAAGAAAGATTAGTTAGAAAGAAAGAAAGAAAGAAGAAAGATTAGTTAGAAAGAAAGAAAGATTTGTTAGAAAGAAAGAAAGAAAGAAAGAAGAAAGATTAGTTAGAAGGAAAGAAAGAAAGAAAGAAGAAAGATTAGTTAGAAAGAAAGAAAGATTAGTTAGAAAGTAAGATAGATAGATTAGTTAGAAGGAAAGAAAGAAAGAAGAAAGATTAGTTAGAAAGAAAGAAAGATTAGTTAGAAAGTAAGATAGATAGATCAGTTAGAAAGAAAGATAGTTAGATTAGTTAGAATGAAAGAAAGAGTTTAGTTAGAAAGAAAGAAAGAAAGAAAGAAGAAAGAAAGAAAGAAAGAAAGAAAGAAAGAAAGAAAGAAAGAAAGAAAGAAAGAAAGAAAGAAAGAAAGAAAGAAAGAAAGAAAGGAGGATAGATTTGTTAGTTAGAAAGAAAGATAGATTAGTCAGAAAGAAAGATAGATTAGTTAGAAAGAAAGAAAGAAAGAAAGAAAGAAAGAAAGAAAGAAAGAAAGAAAGAAAGAAAGAAATATAGATTAGTTAGAAAGAAAGAAAGATTAGTCAGAAAAAGAAAGATAGATTAGTTAGAAAGAAAAAAGATAGATTGTTAGAAAGAAAAAAGATAGATAGATTAGTTAGAAAGAAAGAAAGATAGATTAGTTAGAAAGAAAGATGGATAGATTAGTTAGAAAGAAAGATAGTTAGATTAGTTAGAAAGAAAGAAAGATAGATTAGTTAGAATGAAAGAAATAGTTTAGTTAGAAAGAAAGAAAGATAGATTAGTCAGAAAGAAAGAAATATGGATAGATTAGTCAGAAAGAAAAAAGATTGATTAGTTAGAAAGAAAGATAGATAAATTAGTTAGAAAGAAAGATAGTTAGATTAGTTAGAAAGAAAGAAAGATAGATTAGTTAGAATGAAAGAAAGAGTTTAGTTAGAAAGAAAGAAAGAAAGAAAGAAAGAAAGAAAGAAAGAAAGAAAGAAAGAAAGAAAGAAAGAAAGAAAGAAAGAAAGAAAGGAGGATAGATTTGTTAGTTAGAAAGAAAGATAGATTAGTCAGAAAGAAAGATAGATTAGTTAGAAAGAAAGAAAGAAAGATTAGTCAGAAAAAGAAAGATAGATTAGTTAGAAAGAAAAAAGATAGATTGTTAGAAAGAAAAAAGATAGATAGATTAGTTAGAAAGAAAGAAAGATAGATTAGTTAGAAAGAAAGATAGATTAGTTAGAAAGAAAAAAGATAGTTTAGTTAGAAAGAAAGAAAGAAAGAAAGATAGATAGATAAGTTAGTTAGAAAGAAAAAAGATAGATTAGTTAGAAAGAAAGAAAGGGATTAGTTAGAAAGAAAGAAAGAAGGATAGATTAGTTAGTTAGAAAGAAAGATAGATTAGTCAGAAAGAAAGATAGATAGATTAGTTAGAAAGATAGATAGATGTGTTAGTTAGAAAGAAAGATAGATTAGTTAGAAAGAAAGATAGATTAGTTAGAAAGAAAGAAAGATAGATTAGTTAGAAAGAAAGAAAGAAAGAAAGAAAGAAAGAAAGAAAGAAAGAAAGAAAGAAAGAAAGAAAGAAAGAAAGAAAGAAAGAAGGAAGGATTGATTAGTTAGTTAGAAAGAAAGATAGATTTGTCAGAAAGAAAGATAGATTAGTTAGAAAGAAAGAAAGATAGATTAGTTAGAAAGAAAGAAAGATAGATTAGTTAGAAAGAAAGAAAGATAGATTAGTTAGAAAGAAAGATATTTAGATTAGTTAGAAAGAAAGATAGATTGATTAGTTAGAAAGAAAGAAAGAAAGATTAGTTAGAAAGAAAAAGATAGATAGATTAGTTAGAAAGAAAGAAAGATAGATTAGTTAGAAAGAAAAAAGATAGATAGATTAGTTAGAAAGAAAGAAAGAAAGATAGATTAGTCAGAAAGAAAGAAAGATAGATTAGTTAGAAAGAAAAAAGATAGATTAGTTAGAAAGAAAGAAAGATAGATTACTTAGAAAGAAAGAAAGATAGATTAGTTAGAAAGAAAGAAAGATAGATAGATTAGTCAGAAAGAAAGAAAGATAGATTAGTTAGAAAGAAAGATTTAGTAACAGATAGATAGATAGATAGATAGATAGATAGATAGATAGATAGATAGATAGATAGATAGATAGATAGATAGATAGATAGATAGATAGATAGATAGATAGATAGATAGATAGATAGATAGATAGATAGATAGATAAATTCATTAGTACATATAGAATGGTAGTTTAATTGAGTCTAGGGCTTCAGGGAGTTTAGATTTGAGTTTTTGTGTTGTACACTACTGGGCCACCGTAGTCTTGGCTCAATTTGAGCATGTTGCAATGAAAGTCAATGGGATTTTTATGGTTTTTAATATTAATTTTTAAGAAATCTGAAAGTCAAATCAGTCTGAAAAGATATAGCACACTAAGTCAGAACAGTCTGAAGGTCTGACCCGAGTTTGGAGTTTGTAGAGTTAAAGCTCTAGGAGGAGTTAGATATAGAAATTTTTGAGTAAGAATAATAATAATAACTAGAATGTACATTTCCAGAAGAAAATGTGAAGTGGTGCTTGCAGTGGCAAAACTCGCCGCTCGGTTGCTAGGGTGTGGTTCATGATTGCATACGAGCCAACAAACATGTCTGTACGATGTTCTGGTGCTGAGAAATGGCTTATTCATGTGTTCAGGTGGTTACTAGGGTACTCTATATGGTTGCTATGGTGTGCTTATACAGTTTATGAGATGATATTTAAAGACTAGTTGACAGTCTGAGTCAAAAAAGTCGAACTCCATGTTTCTACTATTTTCTGGAGCTGAAATATGGCTTGCAAATGTTGTTTTATGGTTGCTAGGGTGCCCTAAGTGGTTGCTAGGGCACGGCTATGAAGTTATTATGTCACTACTTATTGGCTTCTCTATGGGCTGAGTCAAAAGAGCACAACCCCAAGTCTCTATGACCTTCTGGTCAAAAGATATGATCTCACAAATTTTTTGCCAATTTTAAGTCTATGGGACTTTTTTTGGCAAAATTTTCGCCCGCCGGACGAACATCGTACAACCGATCGCTTAGAAAAGACATAGCACACCTCTCCTCAATGAACCGGTCGATTTGACACCTCATTCATGGGTCTAAGACAAAAGGTGCGGGAGGAGTAGCGTGCCAAAGTTTTGTCTAGGTGAATAGTAATCACAACACTAGAATGTACATTTCCAGAAGAAAATGTGAAGTGGTGCTTGCAGTGGCAAAACTCGCCGCTCGGTTGCTAGCGTGCGGTTAGCTAGTTTTTACCAAGATGTTAGCATGATTAGCATGTTGCTAACATCATGCTAGCATGATTAGCATGTTGCTAGCATGATGCTAGCATGATTAGCATGTTGCTAGCATGTTGCTAACATGATTAGCATGTTGCTAGCATCATGGTAGCATTATTAGCATATTGCTAGCATGATGCTAGCATGATTAGCATGTTGCTAGCATGTTGCTAGCATGTTGCTAGCATGATTAGCATATTGCTAGCATCATGCTAGCATGTTTAGCATGTTGCTAGCATGATTAGCATGTTGCTAGCATATTGCTAGCATGATTAGCATGTTGCTAGCATGTTACTAGCATGATTAGCATGTTGCTAGCTTGATGCTAGCATGATTAGCCTGTTGCTAGCATGTTTGTAGCTAGTTGCTAGCATGATTAGCATGTTTCTAGCATCATGCTAGCATCATGCTAGGGCGTTGCTAGGCGGTTGCTAGGGTATTCTGGGTGGTTGCTAGGGTGTTTTGGGTGGTTGCTAGGGCGTTGCTAGGCGGTTGCTAGGGTGTTCTGGTTGGTTGCTAGGGTATTGTGGTTGGTTGCTATGGTGTTCTGGGTGGTTGCTAGGCGGTTGCTATGGTGTTCTAGGTGGTTGCTAGGGTGTCACTAGTCGGTTGCTATGGTATTCAGGGTGGTTGCTAGGGCGTTGCTAGGCGTTTGCTAGGGTAATCTGGGTGGTTGCTAGGGCGTTGCTGGGTTGTTGCTAGGGTATCCTGGGTGGTTGCTAGGCGGTTGCTTGGGTGTTCTGGGTGGTTGCTAGGGCGTTGCTAGGCAGTTTCTAGGGTGTTCTGGGTGGTTGCTAGGGTGTTGCTAGGGTAATCTGGGTGGTTGATATGGTGTTACTAGGTGGTTGGTAGTTGTCAAAGATGGTTACTGTTGAGTTTGTAGCATTTTATTGGCATGATTTAGCACTTAGCTAATCAATATTAGCATATAGCTATTCACTGCTAGCATGTGTAGCATGTAGCAAGTCCTGTTTGCTAGCATGAGTCAAAAGAGCCAACCCCCATCTCTATACGATGTTCTGATGCAGAGATATTGGTTTTGCAAAACGGTTGCTAGGGTACTCTGTTTGGTTGCTAGGGAGTGGCTTGGCAGCTGCCATTCATGAAGCTCCAAAGTCAATGTGAATGTATAAACCAACCCCCATCTCTATACGATGTTTTGATGCAGAGATATAGGTCTTGCAAAATGGTTGCTAGGGTACTATATTTGGTTGCTAGGGAGTGGCTTGGCAGCTGCCAATCATGAAACTCCAAAGGCTACTTATCAGTATGAATGATATAAACCAACTCCCATGCCTCTGTGACATTCAGAATGGACGATATTCCTCTTTGGATTTTGGTTGCTAAGGTGCTCGACAATGGTTGCTAGGGCGGGACTCGGAAGTGTTGAGGTGATTCATGATTGGCTGTTTGCTGCCCCGTGTCAAACGAGACCAACCTCATGTTTCTATGACAATTCAGTCCAGAGATATCCCTTCGATCTCTTTCAATGGAAGTCTATGGAACTTGTTGCTAAGGAGCTCTAAATGGTTGCTAGGGCGTGGCTTAATAGCTTCACAATGATCCTGAGAGACTGATTGGTCGTCTGAGTAAAATGAGCCCGCCCCCTTGTCTCTATGACACTCTGATCCAGAGCTATGTTCAATACAAAATCCCAATGCAATTTACCATAGTAGGAGAAACGCATGCATTTCATGGGCCGACCTTCGCCATAGTAAGTCAATGGGAAGCTTTGGGGGCCTCTTGCCCCCAGGGGTGCAACTTTTACCCCATTGTGAGGTATGTTTTTACAGAGCCTGCAAGCCTCTTCAAATGTGGTAAATCACACGTTTCTGCGAAATCCTCTTTCAGTGCTACGAGTCGTCAAAGTTCGTCGCAATGTTAAGTCTATGGGATTTTTTTTACCCAATTTTTTGCCCCTGGGGCAAACACCGTACCCCTGATCGGTAAGAAAAGTCACAGCACACCTCTCCTCAATAGGCCGCTCGATTTGACGCCTCACTCAGGGGTCTGTGATGTCAGCATGTATTTATTTACAGATAATTACTTTGGAGTTTTTATATGGAGTTTTTATAGAGTTTTATAGAGTTATTTAGTGTGGCACTCGGCCTGCGGCCTCGTGCCTATGGCCTACGGTTGCTAGGGTGCTGTAACTGGTTGCTAGGGTGTGGCTATGAAGATTTTAGGCCATTACTTATTGGCTGCTTGATAAAATAAATCCTCTGAGGGAGAGAGAGAGGGCCTGACAGCAGGGCTGTCAGGCCCTTTTGTGTCTGTGTGTGTGAAAGTGACAGTTGAGATTCGAATTTCTGAAAATTCCGCAATGTTAAGTCAATGGGACTTTTTTGGCCGCTTTTTCGTCCGCTGTGCGAACATCGTACACCCGATCGCTTAGAAAAGTCATACCACACCTCTCCTCA